GCGCTGCAGTGCGTTGTTAGAACGCATCGCAGTGCATGATCTTTATTTATTTATTTTCTTTAAAAAAAACCATTAAATTAACTGTGGCAGCGCATGGCAAAGCTTTGTGACTCATTGCCATGCGTTGTGATACCTTGTGTTGCAATTATCTTTTAGATTTAGTCCAAAAAAAATAATGCACGGATACTGATTTTGGTGTGTTTTAACAATTGAATTGTGTATTTTTATCGGTTTAATATTAATTTGAGAAACATTTGCGCAATTATCGCAGGGCCTACAAATTTAGTATCACCATCTTTTTATTCTAACGGGCCTGCGCTTTCAGAAAATATATGGTTTGGGAGGTCTTTTACAAACGCTAGCAACGCAGCAGTTGAAAATCAAATCAATAGGAAAAAATTGCAGAAAATTCAAAAATGGCTTGGCCAGCTGATTTTAAAAATGTTCCGGAGGGCTTGGCAGCGAAAGGGTTAAAGGCAATTTAAAACAATCCCTTGTTTACCTACATAACTATAGCATGGTGGAGAAGTTGATCTACAAATTTCACAGCAAAGGTACTGAAATCACAACTTTCTAGGAGACCAGAATCTTGACAGCCTGCCAGCCTACTAAACTAAACATATCATTGTTAGAGTCTGTGTTGTGTTCTTTGAGGATGAATTACTTGCATGCAGATAGAGAAGGGGTGGCTTTAAAGCTCTTACTGCTTTTTAAAAATATGTACACGTTAATGTGCATAGTCTGGGCATAGATGCACTTTAAGGTGCAACTAAAGGTTGACTAGTACATCCCTGCTTTCGGCCGGAGCTCAGAACTGTCAGAGCTCTGGCCGAAGCAAGCTGGAGCTGACAGGTGCAACAGATGCAGACCGTGGAGCTTCTCCCGCAAGTCAGGTACGCGGTCTGTGATCGCGTGTCTGACATGTCAGCTGTCTGCGGGCCACATAGTACCGGCTCGCGGGTACAATATTTATACAATTGCATCAATACTTACAAAACTGCACTTTGATAGGCCAGATCATAATGGAGCTTAGAGCCAAAGCACTCACTACAGCAAATGCTCCAGTTACGGTCACCATCACCCAGTGGTAGAAGGGAGTACAAGCTGGACAGCAGACCTCAGTACTAGAAAGTAGGAGAAAGGGCTTAACGTTAAAACATGTTTCTACATTGAGAGAGAGAGAGAGAGAGAGAGAGAGAAAGACTCGGCCAGGATCTGACAGCTAGGACATTCTGAATTGACAGCGTTTCTCCTCTGCCCCCTAGCCTGCTTCAGCGCTCCTACTGTGCGTGGCCGAGTGGGTCAGGATGGAGAGGAGGAGGATCGGTAAATATGTGTAATATTTACCAATCCTCTTTGCAGAGCAATCACTGGAGTGATCAGCTGGATGTCCTTCCTTCTACTATGTGTCCCCAGTTATGAATGAACAGGAAGTACAGAGCCTTCTACCCATTGATAATTGGTTGATAAATATTTTACCATCACCTGTTTCTGAATGAATGGGAAGCCTCCGTACTGAGTGCTCTCCATTTATTTAGAACAGAGGCTGCAGAAAAAGATTGAGGACTCTGTATCTACAATTTCTTTTTCAAAAGGGAAAACACTGAAGTTCTCTGCCGTGTACATCATTTGCACAGAGTTAATTATCTGGACACACTAATGTTATGTATAGTGTTTGTATACACACTGGGGTTTTTTTCCTGATCAACATAGTTTAAGGGGTTTAAAATAAGAGCACTGTATTTTATGATTTACAACGAATATAGTACTTGCTGATGTGAATGTGGATGATTCAGCCATTCTTGCACAACAGGAAACGTTACGGTGATAAGTCATCAAAATTGTAAACCATTCTTTGTCATGTAGTCTGATGTGCAGTATTCTATTTAGTTTGCTTTAAGATATGGATTATATTAGTTAAGCAATGTTTGTAATACAGCATAAGGGATTCTAGATTTGGCATGACACTAGTTTTCCTTTAGCTGGGTAATCTCCATATATCGCGTGGTTTTGCCCGTGTAACCGAACACGATCAAGTGTATATTTTTTATTTTTTTTTGCCAGTTGGAATCATTTTATTTTTCATAAAAAGGAAAGCAGTCGACCGTTTGGAATTGTGTGTATTAAAAACAAAAAAGCAGTGTGTCGCAAAAAAAGGAACATGTGTACCTTTTTTCAGTGATTGCCACATGGATGTAAACACATTTAAATCAATAGGGCCGTGCGGCAACCGCTGTGTGCACCACACACGATCGCGCAGGTCCCGGGTCAGCCCTGGTCTGCACCAGCCCTGAATTTTCTTGCAAAAAAGTATAGATTCTTCACCAGCTTTTATCTTTGATATAATGATTATTTTGACAAACAATTTTCACAGATGGCAACCTCTGAATATTCGTTTGTATAGAAATTTCAGGTAATTTCAGGAGCTTACCTTAAAGTGGAGCTTGCAGGCAAATTTATCTAACTCCTATTAGTCCCCCCAACCTACCAATGTATTAAAGTAAAATAGCTTCGTGGTAGGCTTTCAGCCTGCCCACTTTGGCACCAGTAAGGCCACTCAGCTTTTCCCTGGGATTCCAGGAGAGAGTAGTATCAACATTATCTTCAGAATGCACACCTACATAGGGGCACACATTTTTTGCAAGTTGTAATCCTCTGAATGTCATTATTCAGAGGATTATTGTCCCATCTCCTCCACTCCCAAACCGCTGTGTACCTGAAACACACCTACCATAGGTATTTATATGCTGATGTACAATGGCTTACACAGTTGTTCTGTACACTCAAAGTTAAAATTAATGCTACACTAACTTGTCAAGTACTGTTCTGTTTTTCCACAACCCCAGTCATTGCCATCGAACATATACCGGTAGTTAGATCTAGAAACACCACACTTATCCTCCTCCTGTGACTTGCATGATCATATATCCTGTGTGCACTAACACCAGATGCGACATTGGGTTCTACTTTCTGCCGACATTTTCTGGACAAGCTAGCCCCCTATCCAACCCCACCCCTTACCGTACACTTGCTCAAACCAACCCAACACCCACTTTCCTCCCTCTACTTTCCTATGTTCCCTCCCTTCTTAGTCTCCCCCACTCTTTTTTACGCCTTCCCTCTATTCACCCCCTCTCCCACTTTTTTTTTTTTATTGGGACCACTCCTCCCCACTCCACTATCTCCCTGCAAAACAGTTTGCAGAGTAAAACCCTATTCAATCCACATTCTTCATTCTCAACTCGCTCAATATAGGGATAAACCCCACTTTGCCTAGTTGGCCTGGTATTTTCCTGGTATGAACCAGTATCATAAAAATTAATATCCTTCCTTGAATCCTTTTTCTCCTTCATGGCCTACATACGGCACAACAAAACTCTGCAAATTAGTCTTGATCAACCGAAGGCACCCAAACTCAATAGGCCCCCCGATATTCAAAAATACCACTGGGCAACAGAGCATACCAGAATCAGGAATTGGCATATCCATGGCAAGCGGTCATACTCCACTGCAGTCCCTCTCATGGTTGCCTCACAAAAACCATCCAAAACACATCCTACAACACCCATTGGATTTTCCCCACTCAAACACTTCACCCCTCTCTGTAAGATGTTTGCACTATTGACGCAATCAGGCACAGCGACACCTATACGGGACAATCCAACACTCCCACCAAGCTCAGACTTTCTTCACAGCTGCCTTATCAGAAAAGCTGGTAAATTCCTTGACAAAGCAAATATTTGCAACCTACAGGAGACATCACAAAATTCATGTTAGTCCTCCTTGCACGTCACTTCCCCCACACCACACAGACTTTAGCACACCCAATTAGAACTTATGCCTCAGCAACACCACAAAGACATCTAATTTCCATGCTCTATCTTTTTATGGCCACATGTTATCTAACCACGGTGGACCCTACAAGGAAGTCATTGGAGTAGGACTTGGTCCTCTCCCTTTCGCAGCAGGACTGGGAACAGAAACCCCCCAGGGATGCAGTCCCCTCCCTGCAAAACAGGTAAGCAGGAGAGGGGGCAATTTTTTTGGTAATAGTTGTGTGTGATGTGTGTGTATTTTAAATGAAGATATGTGTGTGTGTGTGTGTTTTTAATAAGTGTGTGATTTTTAAAAAATGTGTCATATGTGTGTATTTTAATGTGCGTGTGATGTGTGTGTTTTAATGAGTGTTGTTTTTAATGTGTGATACGTGTGTAATGAGTGTGTGTTTCATTACTTGTGTGATGTGTGTATTTTATTGAGTGTATAATGTGTGAATATGAGTGTTTCAATATTTTGCCTAAGGCAGTGATGCTGAACGTTTAACGTTGCCCAGTACTGCAACGCAATACTAAACTTATTTTCAATGTTGGCACTTGGAGATAAATTGATTTTGCTTTGCAGTTTGGGCACTCTGGTTCAAAAACGTTAGCCATCACTGCTATAGTTGTATAAATAGCGACTAGGATTGTGTAAAAAGAGCTGGACAGAAGAATTGCTGGCAGCTAAATACCAGTCAGAAAATCATCTTAAAGCCACTGGCAATAACAATGGGTAACCCCTAAAGCTTTAGGCTATAAAACGGATTTTGCATTAAGACATTTCCTGCAGAACATACTTACTGACATGGGTGCATAGACTGAATGGCCACAACTGCAAGGCCGTTGGCCACTTTGTCAGTGAAACTCATTGCACCATACACAAAAGCTGCACTGACCTGCAAAGTAAAAAATAAGAACAATGTTTCAGACGTAGCAATCAGTATTATATTTTACACAGAACCTTAAAGTATATCTAAACCCCAAGAACAAAAACCTAATATATTGCAGAATATACATCCACATCCTAATACATTGCAGCATTCTTTTTCTTCGAGGCCAAGTGCATTATATTCAAGTACAAAAAATGCCTGTTGATGCTGCCACAAATCTAGGGTCTCTAACTTCCTAGGGACTAAACTGAATAGTAGTCTCAGCTATCCTCTAATCGCTACTAAGCAACACCCTTCCTGTGATCCAAAATCAGGAGAGCAGCCAACAGTCACCATAGGACAGAAAGCGTTTTATTTGGCAGAATCACCAGGTAGAAAGCTGAAAAGCCTGAAAAAAGAAAACTAATGCAGTCACCTAATCTAAGGATTGCTAACTTGCAATATAATTGGATTTTGAATTGCCTATAAAAATGCAGTTCTTGGGCTCCTTTAATCATAAACCCTGGCTTATACGCAGCCACTTTCAGGTGACAGGACACTGGCAAAAAGAATTGCTGAACAGCCCATATAACCCCTCTCACTCCCAGCAATACTACGTTTTGTAGCAAAACAAAACAAATCAAGCACTGTGATGCGTTCTAACAACATACCACAGTGCATGGCTTACACCACAATATGGTGCACACTGTTGCACGTGTATGTTATCTGTGTGTGTGTTGGGGGCGTGTGGTTATTTGTTAATACTGTTGAGGGGGCTGCTTTTCCAATGTGAAGTCCCTGGGTCCTATCCACTGACCTGTCTACCTTGTCATTGAAGTGGGATGCCAAGAGAACCACATCTGGAGTTCCACCACTGGTGACCAGATTACCAAAACACCTAGGGGTGAGGAGATCATTTTCTCCTACGTCCAGAAAGTCCATCTGCCAATTGTCTGCTCTGGGAATGTCAGAATGTGGCTTTCAGCCCAGGCCAGAATAAAGTTGACTTCCTTTGGTGCCACCCTAATGGTTGTCCAACTGAATCCTTGTTGATCGCTACTGAAGCTAGCTTGTCCACCTGTGGAGGGACAGGTGAGCCACCTTTATCTCCAGAATTTTGATGGGAAGTTTAGATTCCTTCGAAGACCAATTCCCCTGATCTGTCTCCATCCTGAGAACTCCTCATCCAACATACGAACTGTCCAGGTTGACGGGAGAAAGGACTGCCCACCTACAGCCCCAAGCTGATTAGCTTACAAGTCAGTGAGATCTTGGCTTTGGCAAACAGGCCAATATAGCTCATTCTACAGACTGGCGTATCCTTTCCCACTAAACCAAAACATTAAGCTGAAGGGGCCTGGAGTGAAACTGGGCAAACATTACTGCCTCGAAGGAGTATACCATAAGCTCTTTTACAAGACTGAACTGATGGTAACCAAGGGTCCGTACTTAGGATTAAGGTTTAAAAACACCCGGTCCTGGGCCAAAACCAGACCCAGGTACTCCAAGCGATGGGTTGGACCCAAGGCAGAGTTCTGCAAGCTGAGGATCCACCGGAAGTCCCTAAGTGTCTGGAGCATACACTAAACATTTACAGAAAATGGTTGGGCAGAGTACCCTTCCAGAAGGAGATCTTCCACATAGCAAACAGTGTGGAATCCCTGAGAGCACAGCAGTGGGGCCAGAAGCAGGAAGTGCAGTTTACCCACCGCAATGCGCAGTAACCATTGATGAGGAAGGAAGATCAGAACAAATCTCTGATATCTTTAGATTTCAAGAACTCGCCTTGTTGCAGTGATGCAATTACCTCGCATAATACCATGCATCATTTTTCAAAAGGTGTTTGGAATCTTCAGATCCAGGATGGGGCAAACACCTCCAACGGGTTTTGGAACCATATACAGGTTGGAGTAAAACCTTTAAAAGCATTCCTCCAAGGGAACAGAACAATCAATCGTAAAAACTGCAGTAGCTTCAAAGCCGTGTGAAGATCCCTTAATTTCTGGGGGGAAAAAAGGAGGGAAGAGTGGAATAACCGAAATTCCAGTCTGTGTCCCCGGGACCAGGTCAACACATCTATCAAATTAAATTTTGCTCGCAAAGCGCTTCTTAGCACAATTAAAAATTGGTTAAAATTATTTTTTAGATCACGACAAGTAGAATGTCGTGAGGGACAAGTAGATTGGACCCCCTGCTTTAGTCTTTGGACAATCATCCAAAGATCATCCAGCACACCTGTTGCATGGTAGGCACCTAAATGGGAATGTTTGGCTTGGCTGAAAGTACATGTTTAGTCAAAATATATAGGAGGTGGAAGAACAGAGCTGTGCTAGTAGATGCTGCTAATCCTGTTGATCACACCGATAAAATAGACGAGTCAAGGAAGAAAAAAGGATCATGTGCTATATCAAATCTGCACCTTTTTTAATGTTTATTTTTTGTTTGAGTATAGTTCTGATTTTAAACCAAAATCGCCAAAAGGATTTTTAAGATTCCTAAATATCCAAATCACATAGATCGGGCAGTGAACATGTCGAGTCTATGCGTACCATAATCATTTCTGTACTTTGGCATGCAGCCATTAATGAGCACACAGATTTATGTTTCAAAGAATTTTAATAATAGGAAATAACCGGCATGGGCAAAATTAGTTTGGCACATGCAGTGTTAATTTCGTCGACTAATCATTTTTACCATAGTTTTCATACTTTTTAGTCACTCTACACTTTTTCAGCGACTAAAACTAAATAAAAACTAAGTTACGATGACAAACTATGAACGAAAATATATTGACATTTTAGTCGACTAACTAAAACTAGACTAATAGTTAGGAAGAGACAATTTGGTAAGAGATCTAATCAGAACTAATCTCTTTGGACTTCCAGCTCCGGTTCCATCCTAAATAGACGGCTAATAGGCAATATGTGCAATAGTATCACAGCCAATATACTGTAGTTTTTAATTTTAATATTTTAGAGTTGCACTTTTGCTTGAAAGAATGTCATATGCAAGTTTTATAAATCAATGCATATCTAATTACTGGTCCTTTGTTGAAAATACTCAAATTATTGTTACTTTATAAGACTTGCTTTAACCCCTTCATGACTGAGCTTGTTTTTAGTTTGTTCGTTAAGGACTGTTGCACTTTTTACATTTTTGATTCTTACATGGCAGTAATATACTTTACCAAGTGCACTCACACATATTATATATTGTTTTTTTTAGAGGACTGATAGGGCTATATATAGTACATACGTGTGCCTAATGCCTCACTTAGGACAAATTAAAAAAAAATTTAAATGGGGAAAAAAAGAAGAAATACTTTCTCCCCAGTTTTGATTATTTTTTTTGAAAAATAGCACAGCAAAAATAAATGCATTAAATAAATTCATTTATTTTTCCTGTATTTGGAAACACCTCACATCCCTAGGATCTTAGAATTTTTTAAAGTTTTTCTCAGCCTAAAAACAAAAAAGCAAACATTTTATTTTTTTTTCCTCTAAAAGCTACTAGTGGTTAGGTGGCATACAATGTCACCGTCACCAAGTGTCACAGGTAGTGACAGCAACATACTTTGAACATCGCCATCATGAGGGTGTTAAATAAATTCAACCCCTTGGGAAGAGAGAAATAATTGAGATTTGTTTTACAAAACATTTTTTACACTTAATTTATTTTTAATTATATCAAGCAGTCATTTTAAATGGATCTCACTTCAATTGCTTGATGAATTAAATTGTGGTTACCATTAGCCTGCTCCAAACTTGGGAATTGCCAATAACAACCTTAGTGACACTGATCCTAACAGCATGTCAGGTCCAGTGTCACTAAAGACTTCTGATGCTTCCCAGAATGATCATCAGGCTGAAACAATGTTTCAACATAGAAACATGTAGCTAAAAGTTATTATGTTAAAACATTTAGAAAAAAGCTGGTACACATCGAGATCCCGATCTGTACCAGCTGTCAAACAGTGACAGCAAGTGCTGTAAATACCGCACTGCTATAACTGTCAGGCACCAGATTCCTAAAAGGGATAGGATGTCTGTTAAAGCTCAACTCTTTCATTAATGGATGCCTCAATAATTGAACGGTAACTGCTGATTCTCAGCGGTTACTCGCATTACAGAGACCCAGATAGCTGCTCAAGTACAGTGTACGTGAGCAGCCATTTGGGCATTTAATGGCGGGGACATAGAGTGTACGTCTCCCCTCAATAAGGGGTTACTCTAATTTTAAGATAACTAAAGACATGTTATATATCACAACAGTTAAATCTGTGTCTATTGCCTGTTCAATTCTTAATACCATAATAACAGGTTAACAGATGTTTACTCCAGGAGTATATAATGAGATTGTAAATTCTATAGAAATTCTTAATTACTCCAGCTAAACCCACCAGATTTTAATAGACTAAATCTACTGTTTATTTAGTGGACTAAAACCAAAAACTATTTTGTTGTCAAAATGAACATGGGCACATGACACTGGTAAGTGAATACTCAAAAACATGACTCTATATGGGCAACAAATAGCAAGTGACAAGAAGCTGTCCACCGTACAGTACTGTGACTCTGGTATCTAGCACAAAATGTCATGATCTTAAGGGGTTAAAGCTGTCTCCCTCTACTATTAGTAGATACCACCATAAAATCCACAGTAGTAAAATGAAAATAATGTAGGACATTCATGTACATACCGAGTGAGGTCCAATAAGATCAGCTGTCATTGATAGGGATGTAACCAGAATTGTTGCAGAACCAGAGCCCAAAATGATCGCAGCTCCATAGACAGCTACTCCAAGATCAGGATCCAGTGCCACCCAAGCAGCAAATGCTGAAATTGCCAAAAGACCTACAAAATAGGTAAGCTGTAAGACATGAAAACAAATCAATTAGCCAAAAGAGAATACTGCTTTCACAGGCAAAATGTTAAACCTTACAGAAACTCCAAAACTCACATTCCGTCCTATCCAAGTATTAACTGGTTTCATAAGGAATGAAGAAATAAAGCCGCTCACATACATGACTAATGGAATGGTAGCAATATAATTCTGAAGGAGAAAAAAAATAAATAAATTAGAAGCTTGGAGGTAATACAACACACACACACACACACACACACACACACACACACACACACACACACACACTTGAATCTCATAGGATTCCTTAAATTTAATCTGCTAAGTCATGCCAAAGCTTATGGGCCAATTTCTTTTAGGGATTTGTTTACGCGCCAGTAAGAATGCATTTGTTTTTCTCCTATCACTTTAAAAGGGGCTAGGATTGGGTTGTGGTCTGACCAGAGGTTAAGAGGATTAGGGGGATGCAAGGATGGTGAATATATTTCATTAGACTATATGGTTTATAATTTAATATCGTTTATGAGCTGGTGAAAAGTATGTATAGTTCCTCATTGAAGGGTTGAGTTTCCTTCAAGAATCAGAACATTGTGCCAGATGGATTTGTGCACCTGCCTAACAGCATGCGCAACTCTCTGTGCATAGATATAAAGTCAGAAGAGTCACTATGCGCATGTGCACATGGGTATGCACATCCACCAGAGATATTGGCACCAAGAGGCTCATTTAAACCTGAGCCCTACATGGGTTCATTGTTGAATGGTTTTCAGCTGTATTCCCGTCATCCATGAAATCTGATCTTGAACCTTTTGTTCTGCACCTAGGCCCTTGAGGCATTCCAGAACCTGTCTTAGCTTCCAGGGGTGTTCGGGTGGAAATTATGCAAAAGTCAACCCTCATCTTGGGCTTCTCATACAGGTATGCGACAGTACCATTCATTCAGCTACATGAAGCCCCAAAAAGGTATGCCTCTCCTATAGAAGCTCTGTCAGCAAATTGCTGCTCACTCAAGCTGTCACCAGTACACCATATTCAAAAATGCAGATAACACATTTAATTTGTCACCCATGGGAAGCAATGTTTCAAGGACCTTTTCCTGAGACAGTACTTACCATAGGTACTGAGAATCCTGCACACTCCTTTCAGAAAAATCGACCATAATGTGGTCATCCATGGCCTTGAAACGTCACTTTACATCGGTGATGAATAAACCTGGGGGGATTTATCAAAAGCTAACTAGACAGAATCTGGAGGCAGTGGCCCATAGTAACCAGTTTCTCTGTTCAGTCTGCTCAGTTAAGTTTTGAAAATGAAAGATAGAAGCTGATTGGTTACTATGGACATCTGCTCCAGATTCAATTTCACTCTATTTACTTATGAACTCTTGAGGATTAGTTAGCAGAATTTCAGAATTGTAGCTCTGATGTACAGAGATCTGAACAGGATTACAATTAAAAACTATTACCCTCTCGCTCTGGTTCCTTACCGGTTTCAGGGACTCGTCTCTGCAAACACCTTTACAAAACTCGGTCAATAGGGTGCATGTAACCTTGTCAGGATACAAGCGTTATAAATATAAGACTTTGGCCATTTTGAATATCTTGTAATTCCTTTTGGACTGCAATGCTCCAGCCACATTTCAGTATTTTGTCAAGATTATTTTCAGAGGAGATTTTCTTGGACTTATTTGGATGAAATCATACCGGTTACATCTTTCCTGAGACAGGACCGCACATATGCAAGATGAGTCTATTATAGACAGACAACATGGTCCATATGCCAAGATATAGAAATGCGAGTTTGGGCACCTGACTATCTAGTTCATGGGATTAATTATATCCAATAGACAATATGACAATGGAGCCCCAAAACATTTCAACTATTTTAGACCTGCTACCAACTAGCACTAGCCTGGACTACATTGCAAGGGTGTAATATGGTAAAACTGCAACCCCCCCGTACCTGAATCGCAGGCTTTTTCTCCCCACAGGCTTTTTTTTTTGTAAGTTGTGCGGCTGTGGGTGGCTCCACTAACACAGCCACGTCATCCATTTGGGGATTTTTAATTTAACTTTTTTTTAACTTCATTGCTGGGAGCAATAGCCAGCCTGCTATTGGATATTTCAAATTGCAGTAGCCAATAACAGGCTGGCTATTGGGTCACAAATCTGTGTATCAGCGTCAAGCCCTCTGTTAATTATACATGATTAGATGCCAATGTGCGAATCCTTATTCTCCTTATTCACTTATTAGACTTTATCATTAGGGTTTTAAATATTCCTGATCGGTATAATCGTCTATACATGTGTCAAACAAGAAAATCCTATTCAATTATATCCATAATGACCACCAACTACATCCAAAATGATCTCTTCTGTTGTTATAATCGTCCGCCTCCTCAGTCTTACACGGATGGGCGAGCCGGCCGCAGCTCTCCTTCCCCTTCAATCAATTCCCTCCACAATATAATTGAATAGGATTTTCTTCACAAGTGATGCCTCTGAACAAAATGAAAGTAAACCCATTTCCTTCCTTTTTTTCTAAAAAACATTTGCCGGGTTCACGGACGGACACTTTGTATTCATCAGTGGTGATATTGCATTATGTGAGTCTGAGAGACCGAAATGTACAAGTGTACAGGTACTCTTAAGAATGAGAACACTCATGGACTATACACATATACACACACACACACACACACACACACACACACACACACACACACAACAGGTTGGTCTTGATGGACTTATGTACACACACACACACACACACACACACACACACACACAACAGGTTGGACTTGATGGACTTATGTCTTTATTCAACCTCAAATACTATGTTACTATGTCACTTTAGCAGCGAAATTCGTTTTTGCACTTGATATATGGTTTGGACTTTTTTTGTTTGACACGTGTATAGACGATTATACCGATCAGGAATATTTAAAACACTAATGATAAAGTCTAATAAGTGAATAAGGATTCGCACATTGGCATCTAATCATGTATAATTAACAGAGGGCTTGATGCTGATACATAGATTTGTTACAAGGTTTATAGATTGTCGCACAGGTATTTTCACTACACAATTTAATGTATCATTAGATTTGGTAATGTTGCATTGTTATGAGGTGATCTTCACCCACAAAGTTTAGAGAATATTTGTTTACACTTAGACCGAGCGCAACAAAATAGCACTACTACACACCACATATTGTTGCAGCTGGTCCATCGTTTTTGATTATCGTTTTGAACACGTTCACTCTCCTAGCGCAGCTATTGTTGTCCAGGCTGGCTATTGCACCCGGGCGACTGTCAAACAGCAGAGGAGGGACTTGAAGGAGAAAGCTCTCCAGCTGCTGGATTGGAGACGATCGCGGCTGACAGCAGCAGTACAGCGCGGGGGGGTTGGTGTATTAGGCAGCACAGGGGAAGGAAACTCACAAGACTGTCAGAGGTTTATTCTTACAGTCTGTAATTGGCCATCTGTCCCCTCTGACACAGTTTGCTGCAGCCAATTACAGCCTGTAAGGGGAAACCGCTGACAGTCTGAGTCTGCAGAGGGGGGAACGGGACGGCGCTAACATTTCTCCGCCCCCCCAACAGCACCCCCAGACGGCTGCTTGTGCTGCCTTGTACTAGCGCCGGCACAGGCCATCTGATAAAAAGTTACACCGGTTATTGGCTTTGCATACTTTTATAGGACATTCTTTAGAAGGTTCTCAGACACAGCACCCATTCAGGGGCGGACTGACCATTCGGTCCGTCGGGCACTGCCCGAGGGCAAGCGTGGCTTCGGTGCCATTGACTACAATTCACCGCCACGCCCCCTTCCGCCCCAAAACAAAGTGAGCCGGCTGGGTTGCATACCAGAGGCCGAACGTTCTGGAACGCACTCTTTATGGTGTGACTGGACCCTTAAAAGGAGAACTATAAGGTGAGTGATTTCCACTCATCCTCATAGTTAGAGCCAATTTGTGACAAAGAAGCTGTGACAGGTCGGCTCCATCGATCGGGAAGTGAGCAGAAACATGCACCGATCCACTCACTTCTCAATCATTTCCCTGCAGAGGGTGGTGACTGTCAGTGCAATCGCCCACACCGGAACGCGTGGCACAACGGTGCGATTGCTTGCACTATTTTTTGCGATCACATTACTCCGTGGGCATCGGTGTGGCATGCGTTCCGATGCAAGTGCAGGTCGGGAGGTGTGGCTGCGGTGCCATTGACTTGAATGCACCACAACACACTCTTCAACCCCAGAACGCAGGGAGGCTGTAATTATGCAATCCACTGTGCTCCAGCAACAAACTGTGCTGGAAAACACTGGATTTGTTGTGAACAAGCTCTTACACTCAGTTGAGGGCCCGTTCACGCTATCCAGTGCGTTCCCCACACAGTCCCATGGGTTGAACACACTGGATCACATAAACAAACGCTCCCTGCGTTCTGGGGTGGGAGGGGGTGTGGTGGTTCCATTCATGTCAATGGCACTGCAAACATGCCTCCCACCCACACTGGAACGTGTGGTACCACAATGCACTGGGGGGGGTGTTTTTACTGGTGCAGCTGTGCATGGGAACCAATTAGTTTCTCTCCTCAGTTCAACATTTGAAAATGAGTGAGAGGTGCCGATTGGTTGCCATGCACGGCTGCTCCAGTTTGATAAATTCCCCTCACTGTGTTCTAGTGCAGTGCAATCACAAAAAAATAAGGCATGCCTGATTTTCTGCGATCACACCGCACTGGTACGCAGTGCATTGAGGTACCACATGTTCCAGTGTGGGTGGGAGGCATGTCTGCAGCGCCATTGACATGAACGGAGCCACTACTCCCCCTCCCACCCCAGAATGAGCCTTTGTTTATGCAATCCATTACGTTCATCCCATGAGACTATGCGATGAACGCACTGGATAGTGTGAACGGGCCCCGAGTGATAAACACACCTTCATAAGGTTGTTCTGGACACTGTTCTGCCATACCTGCCTGATAATTACCCTATCAGGCAGGGTGCTCGCAGTGACTGCGGATGGCGCCGCAAATATCAGCAATTGTGTAGAGATGTCGCCAGCACACCAAAATCCTTCTTAGGATAAGCAAATGTTAATTTATTGAAGTTCCTTGTCAAATAAACAAATGTTACTTATATGACAAGGAACTTCAATAAATGAACATTTATTAATCCTAAGA